GAGGTAAAAGGGGTCAGGAGTTTTGCGCCCTCTTGAGAGAGAGGCACCATTAGAGTGGGCCCACCCCCACCCCACACACCTCAACAGCCCTCACAGCCAAACACAAAAACAGACACACACAATCCAATACTTGTGAAGAACTACCACACACCAGCTGTTTGAGACAAGTTCACTCAGTGGCCATTTGTTCGTTGAACAAAATTAGAGAGCCATCTGTCCGAGATTCCGCCAGGTCGACATCTTTCCCGCATATGAATCCTCAAACAGCCAAAACTGTAGATTAGTGACTATACTATAATACCCGGAGATGAAAATCCAATGTATCACCTGTCTGGGATATTTGAAAAGATTGTTGGTCTGATTGGTGAAAATTAAAAAGATTTAATAACATCCAATCCACCTCCTGCAGACCATTCAAATGACATGTTTTTTTTTTTGGTGTAACGGACCAAATCAGTCGATCAGAAGAGATGTGCGTAGTCTAAAGGTTTGATGATAAAAAACGCAGTTTGCTGGACTAGATGAGAGAGCTGACATGCCGTCCCTCAGGCCGGGCCCTTAACGTGGACATGAGCTGCCTTTGGTGCAGTTAAGGCCCAAAGGGAGGCTGTATTTGTTTAAAAAAAAAAAAAAAAGAACTGATCCCTCATTCAGTTGGCTGAAAAAGACATGTTTTTATGTAAGAAACAAGTTATACCTAAAATGTTATATTCTTTTTCCAGTTTAATGCATTGTTGTATTGCCACGCCTCCTTATAACACCGTCACCACGTTTTTCAACTAAAGAAATTCCCATGAAAAGAAAACCAAATGTTATTTACAACGCTTGGGAAGACAGAATTTTTTTTTTTTAAATGTAATGCTTTAATTTGCCATTAGGACTAACACACATTTTTTTAAAGAGTTGAGTTGGAAAACGGCAACAATACATTATTGCTTTTACTTACTGGCAGCTAAAATAACAACTTTGAACGTCTGAATGGGATGCTTAATCCAGTACTCTGTCTTTTTGCTCAGTCATTATTTAACACGGCAGGCTAATGAGTGAGACTGAATTAATGGAGAGTGACATCAGATAGGATGAAGTGCGAGGCCGTAATGGACTCGTTAAATAGTTGAGATCACCAGTTAAAATGACCCGGCGTTCACACGCTCGCACACACTTACACACCGAGGGAAAATATAGAAATAAAAATCATCCGTCATTTTCTCACGAAACGTGTCATCTGATCTGCTTTCTCTCCCCCCCTCTCTCTCTCCTTTTTCTGAGCGATAACCATACGCTCAGATTCTGTTGCCGGGGCCCATAAATCCCTTCTGTTAGAGCGAGGAAGCTGACTCAAACAAACAACCATCATTTGAATATCTCGTGATGCAACACAGCAAGATGTGAGAATGCCCGAGGACACATTACACCCAAAAAAAGAAAGTTAGCAGGCTATTTTCTGCATAAGCAAACTGTAGCCAAACTGCGCTTGCCAAAAAAGTTGCACAGAAGGAAAAAGCGCGTCCCAGTGTTTCATTGCAGGAGCACGAGACTAACAGGCAGTGAGCACACAGACACGTCCATGCACTCGTCCTTGCGTGTATACTTTCTTGCAACCCTCCAAATCTGTTAAATCACACCAACGCAGTGGAGTTACCGACACGACATAGAAAAGAAAAAAGAACAACAGATTGGAATAATTGTCATTCGCTCGCACAGGAACTCACGGATGATTTCAGCAGGTAACAAGCTCTAGGGACTTGGAGACTCTAGGGAATGAATCTGTTATACGCTGCATCGCTTCTGGTTTCATCGACTGGATCTGGCAGTTGGGATGTGGCTTGGCTACTGGTTGTTACGGCTACGGATGAAATCATTTGACAAAATGAACATTTCCTAAACCTGATTGGATTACTGCACCGCCCGCTTGATGTTGTTCTAGGAACACAAGTCAAAATGATTCATATGCTTTATTTTTGATGATGTGTTGAATAAAATTTGGAGCAGAAACAGAGCCCTCTAATGCAGAATGGTGCAGCTATAGAATGTGGTCAGAAAGGGTTGAAACTAATTCTACAGCAGTGCAGTGCATGGTCTTCGTCTCAGTGCATCCAAAAACTAGTTAGCTATTACATTAACAAAAAACATATTAGTAAAGTCCTTTAACTGGCCCCTTGTTTTAGTCTCAACCCACAAAATTAGAGAAGGCGGAGACGTGATGCGTGCTTTAGTCGGGGCTGTGAGAGTTGGAGAAGATTTTTTAGAACTTTAAATCGATGTCTGATATACTGACAAAAGAAGCAACGGCATCTTCAGGCTTCTCGTTTTGTCTCAACCTGTACATCCACATTGGGAACGCCACCATTTCGTTTAAGCTCTTTTTCTTAAACCTTTCTGTTGCACAGGCAGGTTTCTGCACCTCCACCCGCGATGACACATCCGTTAATAAAACTTTGGAGAGGTCAATATATTCAAAGATGAGCGTTAAAGCAACACGCAATCCGCCCTCTCACTTTCTCAACCCACCCACCTGCTGTCTTTGCTGCCCAAACGTTACTCAGGGTGAAGTTCTGTTGTTTTTACATCGAGAGTTTTGTCTCTGCCAAGCGGGTTTTCCATCGCGTGCTTGTTTCCCCATTAGCATTCCACGCGGGTGAAAATGACTTGACCTTCTCTTGGAGTTTTAATTGAGTTCCCGTGTCTTCCTGTCTTCGCACTCGTTTCTCTCTTTCTCATCAGTACATGAATGATTGACCTCATTTCACAGAGTGGGCAACAGCTGTGATCTCTTTATAAAGCCAATGTGATGGATTAAGTTATTCGTCCGTCGCGTTGTCTCCCCGGTTCAAACCTCTTTTGTCCATCTTATCTGTTTTTTTGACACTTCACCTCTATAGAAAGATGTTTTACCTCGTGTGGAGTAACTTTGTCAAGTGGTTTCTTAATTATTTCAGATTTCTTGCTCTCTTTTTTTCGTCCTCTGTACACGTGCCTAGACTAATGGAGGTTCATTACAACGTGGTGCTTAAATAAAAGGCCCAGTGTGTAACAGCCTTTAAATACTGAGAGGTAACATATGCTGTATGTTCACACAGTTGTATGACGGCTTTAGGCCGTAATGGAATAGCATGATGACACTGACAAGTTTGCAAACGCCAAACTCATGTGTTATCGCCTGGTCGTACTCTTTGGTCCCGCTTTCAAGACTCGGTATATAATATGATGATATTGATAATAATTTTATGCTAATTTTATATGTAATGTTATAAACTGTGATAAAGTCCTCCATCCTCAGTCAAAAACTGCACAGAAATGAACAGTGAGACGGCCGATAGAGAGAATGTATTCCCACTCTATAATATCACAACATTCATAGCAACAACCTTGTGTAATATAGCAGTTTTATAGGACAGTACTCTGTAGAATTTACCGGGATTGATTTTGCACATTATGAGTATGCTGAGGACATTTATATTTTGGAGGTTGTGACAATAGGATTTTATGACTGTGTATTCATTTGTCACTTTGGTACTTACAAATGGACAGACGCACATACTTCACTATACTCGCTGTGGCTTTAAAATTGATTTCCCTCAAGGCTGGCTACAGCACCACAGAGACACACTTAAAAACATTTATTGCTTTTATATTTTATTAAATATTTCTTTGGAAACCAAACTCCAGGAACTTGTTGAAACCAACTAGCATGCTGTTAATTCTTTATAGCTCCACGTAAACACAAAGTGTATGCTGTATGTCAAGATGATATTTTATCCTATTGTTGGCATTTTCAGAGTCGTTATTCAATGCAAAATGAGTCTACTTGTTTCTCAATTTTCAAAGTGTTTCCCATTACATTTGCATACACGCCACACCGTCATCATTAATCCCCGTGGATTCATTTACTGCAACATAAGCACTGTTATGCTCCGGTCAATGGATCACATTGCGTGACCTTGAATCATGTAGTTTTGGGTGTTTGTTTCTTTGTGTTGAGGAAAGGAAAATTAATATTCCATCTAATAATGTATCTGGCAGCCGACACCTCGGTTTTGTATCTGTTCTACTGACGGAGGCAAATGAATCAACATCTGGGACTAAGAGTGTCTGTTTCACAGACAGCTCCACGTTGAACCACCACCCACCAGTTCAATTCAAATTACATTCATTATTTCCATGCAACACATTGGCAAGGTGGCTCATAATAAATGGTACAATATTTTGAATTTCTCAGAGTAGCGGCGGTGTGAGTGTTTGGCAACGTACTTTCCAACTGTCTGAGTAAAACGGCTCTTTTTTCTCCCCCTCGCTTGCTTTTTTTGGACTCAAGTCAAGTGGTTTAAATTGAAGCAAGCCTTTGGGGCATGGGTTGAGATGTATCCAGAATTTAAATGTTCCATTTTCAATTGTTTAGTTTAGGGAGAGCTTCCAGGTTTAACGATATCTCTCTCTCTCTCTCTCTCTGCCTCTGTGTCTCTCCACCCTCCTTACCAGCCTCCGCTTTTGTTTTCTTTCCTCTGTCTTTGTGTCTTATCTTCCAACTCTCTTTATCTTCATTTTTTTTTTTTCTCTTCCTGGCAAACGCAAAGGCACATACTCACAGTCTCTGAGCAGTATTTTCTTCTTTCTGTGTGTTGCAGGAATGTAAGCTCTGCCGGTGAGGAGGCGAGACGGAGGATGAGGGAGTGTGACGGCCTGACAGATGCTCTGCTCTACGTCATCCAGACCTCTCTAGGCAGCAACGAGATCGACAGCAAGGTGTGTGTGTGTGTGTGTGTGTGTGTGTGTGTGTGTGTGTGTGTGAGAGAGATAGACTTTCAAAGTCTCAGCTTGTGTTATGTGGTGCATCACTGTATAAATACATGAATGAAATGATCGTTAAGCAGTAAACGTGCATTTTCAAACTCAAAGATTTGGGCTGCAAGAGAAAAAAGTGTGTCTTGTAGAGTGAAACTATTTTTCTTATTGTACGGGAGGCGAGAAATGATAATAATCATTATCAATTCATAGTATCGATCTGGTTTGTATCCACTGATTTCCCGTGTTGGGACGGGCTCGCGTTGGTGTGTAGCGTATACGTGTGATCGTGACAGAGTATGTGGGGCACCAGTCAATAATACATAAACAATGTTGTGGATGGCTGACTTCTCAAGGTCTCCCCGTCTCCCAGCTTCTCTAAATGGCCATCTTTAATCACTGTTTAACCGGACGCCCTTCTTCTCCATCCGGACGAAGTCACCAGAGGAGTGCTGCTGTCGCCTCGGTAACAAAGACTGATTGGCAGGTGTAACGGGACGTGGTCACTGCGCAAATAGGGATGTTAGCCATGTGCTCGTTTTGCACTGGCTTTTATTCTTTATATTAGCCACGTGCATTGCCTAGGCAACCGACTTACATTATCTACTCATCCACCTGTTTAGGTGGCAAATTAATCTGGTCTGTCATTAAATGTATAAACAACATACGGTTGATATCTAGGACCACTTTAGCTCTAATATGTGGAAATCATTAAACAAAAAATATGTTTGTAGCATCGTTCTAAGCAGAAATGATTTGAAAACACAAGCTGAGATTTTGATCAACCAGTACAAAGGCCCATAAACTTGTACAAACAGTTCCGACTTAATACTCCCTTTTGAGTTTTGTTGTAATTTTGATCATCAACACAGTCGGCCCTCTTTCTGCGCCGCCTCATGTTCACAAATCCAGACTGGCACGTGCAAGATCGGCTGTATTTTATAGTCAACTGTCCCTTTAAACACCATCTGCAGATGACTGCTGTAATGCTGCAAGGGACTGCAGCCGATCAAAGCTTTTAGAGATGTTTAAATGCAGGCCGGCGGGTTTCACAGTGTTGACCTCCGCACAGCGCAAAAGTCATTATCATCACCGATACAGCGATTTGAACAGACTTGCTCACCACTCTACATACATCCAATTTGATGCTCACGTTTTATAGATTATGTGACGTTGTTATTTAACAACAAATCAATGAATCTACATCACCTAGTGTCCCAGAGTGTTACGGACACGTATATTCTAAAAGCACAGTGTGGAAAGACGCGCAAGGTCATCGCAACAAAACCCTTTGTCGACATCAAAGGCCGCGGTCTCGTATTGGTTTGCTGTGTTTACTTTTATGCGATAAATAAGAATGGAATCTTCGTGGGAAGGAAGCTATTCTGAAAGTGTTTCCCACCCGTGACCTTCCTGTGGAGGCAAGAAATACCACATAATCATTTTTAAAAACCAAAGTCTTTTGGTTCCCTAAACCACACAGCTGGAAAGAACAGGGCACTGAATGAATGTGGAATAACAGATCGAAAAAATGAAATGTCAAAGTAAATTGTAAATAAAACTTGCTGCTACATCATTCTGTAATAGCATATGAAAAGAACTTCAGACATGACTTCGGCCTGCTGGAGTGAGACATTGTTTTGTTTGTTGCATCTCTTGAGGCTGCTCAGTTATACTCCTTAGTTCTCTGTTGTGTATACCAACGGTCAGACAGGGAGAAGATTGATGACTTGTCTTTGGCAATTTCCACTCGGCTGGCTCGATGACTCCCCCTTTTATTTTTAGTTATAATGAACACAAACACACGCGAGTATAAACATAGTGAAAGTACACACTTAAGCATAGATGCCATTCCCTGGTAGAATTAGTTTGCTTTCATGCACACACACTTTCACGCAGCGGAATCGCCTTTAAATTTAGTGTTTAATGGGGTGTGATACAATATATCGGGCATGTCGTTTTTTTCTTTGCTTGACTTCTTCTAATCTTCTTTCAAGTCAGCGCTAACAGAATGCGGGGAGATTATCTTTCTTCTTTCCTTTTCTGTTGCTCTCTGTTTCTATGTCTGGCTCGTGGGTGTGGGGTCGAGGGCCGATAGTAAAAGTGTGGGTGGGCAGTTTTTATCAGCATGGTTGGATGTGGTTTAGATCAAGATGTTTCTTTAAATGGCATCAAGCACAAATCTCCCACCCTTGACTTTATCACTTATTCATTTATATCGGGGGGGGGGGGGGGGGGGGGGGCGGTTGTTTATCTCCCACCTCCTCTTCCTCCTGACTCACTTCATCCCTTCCAACTTGCTTTATCTCCAGACTGTAGAGAATTGTGTTTGCATCCTGAGGAACTTATCGTACCGTTTGGCCGCCGAGACGTCCCACGGCCAGCAGGGGGGGCTGGAGGAGCTGGACGGCCTGCTTTGCGACGCCAACGGCCGCGACGCAGAGAGCTCTGGCTGCTGGGGCAAGAAGAAGAAGAAAAAGAAGGGAGCCGATCAGGTAAGGGTGGACGTGATGATGAGGGCGACTAAATAACCGTTGCAATTGCAAAAAGTGATGAAAAGAAGTTGCGTTTGCGCTCAAAATGTTGGGTTTGTGTCGGGCAACTACAATAGCTTCAATGCTCTTTGTCGTGAGCTCCACGAGTTTGTGGAATTGACACCATTCGTCCTCATTCGACGGATGTGCAGGGCACGCTCTAAGTCGACCAAATTCATTCGTAGTTGATCCATTTGGTTGAGACCGTGTGACTGGAAAGGCCATGTGATTGCTTTGTGCCTTGTATGGAAGCCTCTCGACTTGTTTATTCCAGATCTTACGTTAATTCTTCCCCATATGGGTGAAAAAAGAAGGCCGCTTTCACAAGGAGGCAGGAACGCAGTGTGAGTGGTTGAAGCAGCCGTGCCTTCAACAGGGACGCGTGTTGTAAATAATGGAAAAGAGGAATGGAAATCACACATCACGGAGTAGGAAAAATGACAAAACATTGGCTTGTTCTATAATGTATTGGCTCAAAAAAAAGTCAAATGCAGACCTATTCTTTTTGCTGAACTCTTACTATGTTGTATATGTTAGAATTTTACATAGGACCAAACCCGAGACACAAACACAGCCCATAATACCTAACCACACTTAACCGGACTGATATTTGAGACTGAAAACCAAACCTGAGATCCGCAGCTTTGTTTCGTTTCATTTCATCCATTATTAGCAATCATCTTCAGGCTAATACAACTCATTTGCTACGCTGTGTCTCTTTTGCGCTTTCCAATTTCCGTTTGTATCTGGAAACACCTGGCACCCATGGGCACAGACCGTTTTCACAGAGAGAGCAAGGAGACAGGAGAGAGAAATTCTTATTATTGTACATTTTGTCCTATTTCAATTAGGAGGGATAGTAGGACTCCAGCTATGAAAGAGACGGGCAGTAGTTTGAGTTCATAGAAATCCCATCTTTCCAAACAGAAAAATGTGCTTGAACAATGCAGCACAGAAGAACTGCATAAGAACTTCCATTCTACGTAGCTCTGACCAAAACAACACCACATTCTCTGTTTTTGGACTGTCCCTATCAATCGACCGTCTGATTGACAAAGCAATGACATGTTTTCTAAACCTGGTTGCTCTTATTTTGCCATGCAGCATCGTCCCTTTGCTAACTAGATATCTACACAACTGAGAAGCAAACATCTGGTTACACAACTGAGGATATCTGGTCACATGCAGTGATTTGTTGAAGTTAGGCATTGGCCTCAGGTAGTTAGGGTCAGGATAGCTCATGGATTCGGGCATAGGACCTGAACATATCAGGTTATTGATACGTCACCAAGCATGGACACACAAGGGCATGTGTTGGCAAGAAAGGATGTGAGATTACCGCTAACGCCCCATTAACGCCAACCACCAACCTGATCGCGCAGTGCAACCTGGCTTGGGTCTTAGTTGCGCATTATACCAAACCCACAAATAATGCTAATGGACAGGATGCTCTGTGGAAGAGCCTTATAAAACAGTCGCAGAACATTACAATCCAACGGAAATTGTGTCGTTTCGCTTGGAAGAAATTGCTGTGGTGGTATTTTAACGTCGGCCGTTAAGCTAAACCATCTCAGAAGCATTGGGAACAGTCCAGGAAGAGGCATGCACAGTTCTGAAATACTTGCACAAACCATGACAGAAACATCTTTTCCAATCTAGGGAAGCCTTCTGTGGTTTTCTAATATGGGTGCTGACGTCTTTGGTTTCTAACGTGACGTCTCTTACACAACTGTCACACCTGTAGCTGCTAAGCTTCTTACGGAAGGCTAATTTAAGGTTTACCACATTGCTTTAAGTTTGACAAGATGGATTTTTGTTTGATATGATTGATTTGCTTCTTGACAATTCAGCTGCAATGTGAGGCCATGAATGCCATTAAAAGCTGGTAATTGGGTTATGTCCCTAAATAATATGAATTCTTTTGTGTGGTTCATTATTAACTTTTTCTAATGGGGCTTCACTTTAAATGTCTAACATCTGAGCATATACTTGACCCAACATCGACCCAGACCATAAAAAGCCCTAAAGTAAGACAGTATCATCTGCATATTTAAAAACAAGAGTAAGTCGAGACGCTCATTGGTATTCAGTGCATAAAGTATAGCAGACGAAAACAGCGTCCCCTGAGATTATGGATTTATGAACTTAATGGGTAAATGGCTGTGTGGAATCCGCCCTGCTGGCTGCGATTCAAAAGAAATCCATAGAACGAGCCTTCAATTAACCCCAAAATCCAGCTGTTTGTGCCTGACAGCCGGCTGGGTTGGATGTTGTTAAACGCACACAGCTAAAATGATCAACACAATCTCCTCGAGACAGTGAAGCTGTTCATGAGCAACCCAACCGTCTACTCTGATCTAGCGTTTTGGGCACAGGTACAACCAAAGACAGCTTCGCCTGGTCAGGTGATCCTTCAACAGGGAGGGGGGGGGGGGGGGGGAGGGGGGGGAGAAAGAAAAACTCAAGCAGTTATGTAGTCTTGTAACGTAGTCTCCTTAATCATTTATTCAAGGTTCAAACAGAAAGGCCAGGGAGCAGCAGGAGGGCCTGAACTGGACCTAAACAGTCCTAATGGATACAGGAACACACACACACTCATACTCGAGGCTTTGGCCCCCTGGGATATATAATGGAAAATTATAGCTGAATTATAAAATATTTAGAAGAATTTCCACAAAACTACAGAGCAGATGGTAGATCCTCACTAGATAAATAGATATATTTGGTATTCAGCTGTCTGACCAGATAACTTCATTGGGAATGTAATATTTACTTACTGGAATTTTGAAACTGGACAGCTGCAGCATAATAACCCGATCCGCACGGCAGATGATGAGGAGCTTGAGCCGCAGTGAATGTGTCAGCTTTGGTTTTATGATTCTTTACGATTCAGGCAAAGGATACAAAAAGTGATATACGGAAAAATCTGTCTATGTACGACTGAAGCAAATACATTTGAAAATGTCCGATGCACGTAGTCATTGCAACATTTTAGGTACACACATGAACATGAGTTCAGATTTAATATGCAGGATGTCTGTAGGCAACAGAAAGTACTGCTGAGTTGATGCCTCTTGTTATACGCACTTCAAACTAAGAAGAAGCCTTTGAATTCATGATAAGAGAATCTATGTATAGACAAAAACATGCACGCATGCACAACACACACTCCGCAGCACTTCTCTCAAGACGCACACTAGCCTAGTTTACCTCGAGACCAGGGGAGAAGAGAAAGCAGTAGAGCGAAACTGAGAAGGTCGATAGGGAGAGGAAAAACTGGAGAGAGAAGGATAGAAATAGAATAAGAAATAGGGGGAGAGAGAGAGAGAGAAGGAATCAACAGGAGAGAAATGGGGGGAAGAGATATTAATGTCAAAGAGGAGAGAAATGGAAATGAAAGGGGAGAGTTAGCTGTGGGCTCGTGCCTACGGGAACGGGTGTGGGCATGTCACTCAAGAAAAAGGCTCAAACATCAAGGGATTCCATGGCTGTGGAGGAGAAGAGGAGGATGGAGGTAAAGGGGAATAGTGCTTTAGGTTTATTTTTCAAAGCAAAATGTAGGAGTGAAACATTCTGTCATAGTTTCTCTAGTTTGGATGAACGCTGCTTAAGTATGTTAATTGAAGACCAAGCAACGTTTCTTCAATGTGAAGCACTTTAAAAGCTTGCATTTTTTGCAGAAGCCTGCAGAAGGGATGACTGTTGTGGTTCAAAAACAAAACTAATGGTATATAAATGAGAAAATCACTCTACTTTATTTATCACCTTACACATTGTAATGACTCTCTGGTTATTCAGTGATTTCATGTCTTCTTGAACACAGCCGCATGTGCGGTTTGTAAATAATGGTTCGGTTAAGCAGGGTATGCGTCACGGTTTGGCCCACCTGTCAAGGACAGGTTGTCACCATGGCGTTTTCTAATTTTTGGAGGGTGGTGTTTTTTGTTTTGCCCCGTGGGTCGTTTATTTTTGGTCGTCTTGCAATCAGTTGTACTTTAATCAACCCACTCGTGTCACTTTTAAATGCAAACAACCAAGACGGCGATGGATAAAATGACAAACGAGAGGCCTCATAACGACAGTCCACAGCAACGGGTGACGTTCCATGGTTTGCTGGAAGAAGCCCAAAACATTCTTTTTGGAATATATTTTTGTAACTAGTTTTCAACGTCGTGCCGGCTTCTGCCTCTGTTGCACTCCACAACGACGATTTACCTGCAACCTACTCTGCAACCAAAGTCTTTCCAAGAAACCCTTCATTTGAATGCAGAGAACGTTAGCGGTTAGCATCGCACCTTGCGCAGCGTGACAAATGATCAACTCTGTCTCTGTTTCTCACAGTGGGACGGCGTGGGCCCCTTTCCGGACACAGCTGATCCTCCCAAAGGGGTTCAGATGCTGTGGCACCCGACCATCGTCAAACCTTACCTCACCCTGCTGTCTGAATGCTCCAATCCCGACACCCTGGAGGGAGCAGCCGGGGCTCTGCAGAACCTCGCCGCAGGCAGCTGGAAGGTAACAGCCAGGCTTGAAAAGTTTTTTAAGTACTTTGTCTTCTTATTTCTTCACTTCACTTTTTTGGTCGCACAAAAATATCGTTGGAGAAATATCTTTGGAGACCAATGTCCTTTTTTTGATTTGTGCGGATAAACCTCAGATTGAACAACATACCCACATTGTAAGTTGGACAAACTTGAGTGATGTGTGTGTGTGTGTGTGTGTGTGTGTGTGTGTGTGTGTGTGTGTGTGTGTGTGTGTGTGTGTGTGTGTGTGTACATGACTTTGTGTGTGCAACTTTGAGTGTCTTTTCCTTTTTACGAACCTCACGGCCTGTGACTAAGAGCTGCTCTGCACCCAGACTCTGTGCCATCGGAACACCGTCCTCTCACACACATTGTGCAGGACACGGCTCTGGCCTGGCTTCCTAGTATTGAAAAGTAACGTCATGTGGAAGGTTCTTAGTGAGGGATGGCATTTTCCATGATGGGCAAATATGAATCAGAATGACCTCGGTGAGTAAAAAATTTAGTTTTCATGGCAGGAATATATATTATATATATACATATATATAGCCATCAAAAGGTGAACACAGTTTAATATCCATAAGGACACAAAGACAGAATGCGGGTTGTGTGGCAACCGGAATTCCACACTCATTGGTTACAGTTGATTTCTGGTTTGATAAAAAGTCAAAGGCTGATGTATATGCTTGCAGTAAATGCCACAGAGCACAGAGGATAAACAACTCAAAAACTCAATCAGTCGGAATAACGTTGCATTTGCTCAACACTCTGTGCTGCTGACTTTGAAATATCAATCGCGCAAGCCAATGTTTTATGCCTCCTATAGTATAGAATATTGTTTAGCAGCAATGCAATTACTGCAGAAAATGTAAAGGCTCCCAGCCTGAACACACCGGGGAATAGAGCCAAACAGCAGCTGACTGATGGAAACGGCTAGATGGTCATAATGTATGAGTCATGCGGCAATCTTGTAGAAATCGGTTTCGGTTCAGCTTTAGCCCTGAGGCAGGGGTATATGAGGCTAAAAAGCAGAAAGTGTAAGGACTTCGTCTGGGAATGACATTGGGACGTTTTCGGTTGTAAATGGGCTACGTTGTAATGTTGATGGAAATGTTTATGCGGCCAAACATGCCTCCGTCAAAGTGTTACCATACTTTTGCTGGGCCGGATCGAGCTGATCCATCCACAGATCAACTGTGGTTGAGAGGGACGTCTCTGCAGTTCCGAAAATGTGCGTGGGAGCTGTGTGCATCTGTGTCTTTTTCTTTTTTTTGGGAGTGTACATTGCTACTGTAATGGACAGAGAAACAGAGCGAGGCAGAGATGGAGGAGGAGGCTGTAGAAAGCCAAGGGAGAGGGTGGCAGGTGGTTCTCAGGAAATCCCATTTTCTATTTCGGGGTCTTACTACATGCATGTGTGTGCTATGCTGTGTCTCCTCTCCCGATAACAGTTTCCATAGAGGCCGAGTTTGCATACTGGTGGCTCACCATACGTTCTGTTGAGTCCATACAGTGCGTGAATAAAGCATTATAACCATTCCCCTCCAACGGGGCGAGTATTCACTAAAATCGCTTTTTTCCCATTTGTATTTTAAAGAATCTATACGTGGGACACTCCTTTGGCTTCCCAACTACTAATATCTGACGTTGGGTGCTGTTTGCCACATCCCCAGTCTTCTCGAGTTGCCCCCACAAGGCGGCTTTTCTCTCGCCGCTCGGGCTCGAGTAGTCTATTTAACCGAACCTTGATGGTTATTGAGGGAGGACAGAGTGGTCTCCAAAGCGCTTCTCTTTTGTTCATGTAGCTTTCCCTCTCACAGCATACAGTATCACTCGCCCCTCTCACATTGACCCTGGATATAAAATCTCACACTCCACCATCTTCTTCTTCTTCGGTCTCTCTTTCTCCTTCTGCAGCCACTAGACGCTGAAAACAGTCAGCCTAGTGGCAATTAAACAGTGTAGGAATGCAAATGTGTACATTGAACATAACCCATATCACAATGCACAGGCATGGTGAGTTGCTATTAAGGTTACCAAACAAGTTTCACAAGCAAAAGGTATCCTGTTTATCATGCTGTGTGGATATTATTTTAATTGCTGTTGCATGGTAATACCAACGTTTTGAAAATAAAATGTCTTTACCTTCTAGACCATAATTGCCACAAAACTCCCACACTGTTGTTTCCCCACAAATAAAAAGGAATTGTTGTTTTACAGTACATCCGGCAACTGATGCAATAACATTTTTGCTATTTGACATCCTTCCCCCTGATTTCTCCATGCCAGTGGTCGGTGTACATACGGGCCGCGGTACGCAAGGAGAAAGGCCTTCCCATCCTGGTGGAATTACTGAGGATAGACAACGACAAGGTGGTGTGTGCCGTGGCCACCGCCCTCAGAAATATGGCCCTGGACATTAGGAACAAAGAGCTCATTGGTGAGTACAGAAACATACTTTTCCAATAAGGATTATATTTGTTGTTGGTATATTCAACCCTATTGTCATTCTGTACTAACGTAGGATGACTGCTTACCTGGCTTCTTCCACCATGCTAGCCAGGTGGAACACTTTGGAGTTGCTGGTGGATTTTGACACGTACATTTAATCGGCTGTGATTTGGATCATTGATCTGTAATCACAAACCAGGATCAGGTCTACGCAATGAGCTGAAACTTCAAATGAGGCTTGACGTGTGATCTAAAATGAAAGGGTTAAACTGGTGGAACATGTTAAGAAGAGAAGAAAGTCTGAAAGGAGAGGAAGATAGATATTGTTGCAGAAGATATCATTGAATCAAAGCCTTGCAAAAACAGCATTTCCGGATCTGGGGCATATAAATCACTGGCTAGAGACACTTACTGTGTGTTTCAGTACGGATGAGTCTTTCATTCTCCCTCTGTAGATCAGTTTGAGCTTTTGTCTCCGACGTGGGTGCGTGTTACCACACCCTTTCTGTCTGTGGTTTTCATCGGAGTTTCTCGGCTTCCTGGTGGCGCTCAGTGGTTTCTATGGCAACCCTGCTACCCTCAGTCTCAGGCGAGGGCTTCTGGAGCCTCTCTTGAGTTTTTTGCAAGGATGACAAGGAGCGCTGCCGGCAAAGCTCGACGCGTCCTTGCAGGGATGGTCTGTCTGGCGCAAGCAGCATATTATGGGATAGTTTCAGCCTTTGCTGAAAGACATTTATCCGTCTGATTTGATTGCCATTTGGTTCTTGTTTGTCACGTTGTAATTCTAGTTCTCTTTAAAAGATTGGACACTGGATTTCTTTTCATATCTTCTCTGAATATTAAATGCAGCTTCCACATAGTAGATTATAAAATATATAAGAGGGAATCATGAAGAATGAACATGTTTTGAGTCAGATTTAATATTTTGTATTTTGCGAAATAAAGGAAACAGAGTTAAACCCTTTTGATGGCCTCATAGAGAGAAAGCCAAAGAAAATACAGAGGCAGGATTGAGTAATATAATCACATACAATTTTACAGAGAAAATCAGTTCAAATGTTATTGTCATTTTCATTTGAATACACGCTTGACTTATTTAGTTGCAGGATAACATGGTTTAACGCCCGCTTCTGAATTAGATCACAAAGTTATTTCTGAGACAAAGAAAGAAACAGAAAAAATGAGAGAAGTGGGCTGATGAGAGGCAAATTAACATTGTGTATATAAAACAGAGATAATTAGGGGTATTGCAGATCATCTTTCTGCACTCGCAGTCAGGGAGGTGTTTAAAAATAGATACAGTGCTGCAAAAAATATAAATTTTGAGAAAGATTGTTGTAATTTTTTTTCTTCTATTTTTTCCAAACATTTCTCCGTCCTCATTTGACATGTTTGATTGTAACTCCTGGCTTGGTGTCTTCTGCTGCCTCTTTGATTGTCTGTTCGGTTTCGCCACAAGTTACAATTATATCAGCTCGATGTTCAGTTCCACCAGAAACTATGCTGATTAGTGTGTCGTTCTGGTTAAGATTTCATATGAATCAACACTGTTGTGGTTTTGCTGCCTGGCGATCGTAAAGAATCAACTTAAAGCAGATGTGAATTGCATGGAGCTGCAGGGAGGGTTGTTGATTGAGAGAATAAGACAGTTACGGCAACCTGGGCTCTGTTAAGCCACGAGACATTATTAAGATCTCATAAAACCGATCAGTATGTGTGCAATAAATCATCTGTTTGCATTCAGAAGCAGCTGGCGCATCAACTTCTCTTCCCCACTGTCTACGGAACAGTCAGAGATAATGACACACGATGTCACTAAAACAAGGAAAGCCTCAGAGAGGAAGAGGGAGAATGCAGAGAGGAGGAGGAAAGTAAAAGGGATCAGTCAGGGTTGAGCCTTTGCTCTTGGCACGGTGTGATTTGATACATGCCGACAGGAAAGAGGTAGAGGCCAGGCACTCCTAAGAGACAAGCCCCATTTGGCCCGTGTTCACAAGCTTTACTCACCGCTCTGACTCTGAGTCAAACACATTTCTCTTTGCACCATGCACTTCTGCAAAACAAGCGCTTTACCGGAAGGAACAAAGCAAATTCACAGAGCCTGTTTGACGGCCTTTGTTAGATCCAAGTTCCACCAAATTGTAATACCATTTTGCACGGCTAATCTGGAGTAAATCACCTCTTTCTAAAAAACAAAAATGAAAACGCGAATCTTCTTGCTGTAGTGTGTCGTGCCGATGTTAGTGTCGGTGAGTTTGGCAGCATCCGCGTGGGGGAACGGTTTGCTTGTTCTGAGCGAGCAGAGGTGAGAATTATCTTAGGCTCACAATAACCTCGGAGTGTCAAAATTCACTGGAAAAGTACCTGATGGCTGCGAGATGGTTGTCTCTCTCTCTCGGTAGACGGAATGAGGGTGGAGGATGAAACTGAAGAGTAAGCTAAACACCTACTGTAACCACATATGTATACTTATATTCCAATCCCTCCGTAATGGGATTTACCGGCACATTGATGTCATTGAGAATCATTCCTCTCATTTGTCAACGTTTTTTTTGTCTCTCTCCTGATTTTCCCTCCTTCATAGTTTTTGATTTGCATAATGTACTGTATGCCTGTGTAGCAATAAATGAGTCCCATTCACTGCTACAACGTCTGTCTTCCCCATTCACTTACAGATGGTAATTTGACACACATGAATTGGGAACAGCACTGGAATTACAGGGTGCTGTGTTCCTAAAGACTCCCGTAAACACACACAGTGCCTGCAACCAAATCCAAACCAAAATGACTGTTTAATAAAAAAATCGTTAATTAAAAATCTCTATTAATTTACAACGGTTAATGAATTTATAACATTTTTTGTATGAGGCTCCAACTACTACATCTAATTGGGTTTCTCGATTCTCCAGTAAGGGTTTATTTAAATTCCATACATGAAATCCTATTGCAAAGTCCTGCAGTGCACTGCGGCTTGTATTGAATCTGTAAGATATATTAATAACAAGTTGGATGCGAAAGCTTTTGAGCTGTATTTTAAAAACAAATGATTCATACTTTTTAGTATTAACTAAACCAAAAAATGTTTCTGCTTCACACAGAGAGAAAATCTTACCAGTAAACCTTCTTAATACCAGATGTGCCGGCTCGCCTTCTGCGTTCGGATTACAACAAATAACATTCATCAAACAAAGCTTGCAATGGTCTCCTTGAACAAGACTGAGTCTTTCGCGTGAAACCGGGGGGGGCTTGTTCCTCCCCGTGCCTAAATTTGATTAGGATGTTCACTTGTGTGATACACGTGGAAGCTGTTTGCATCACATCGACAGAAAACGCCTTCAGAGCGCGAGGAAACTTTCACTCTTTTTAGTTGATTGTAGTCACACAAAAGTACCGATGACCAGTTTTTCTGAAATAATAAAATAACGACGAAATCAAAAGCAAAATGTTAAAATTTAGAAACAGAGAAAATCACTCGTGCATTTCCATCTTTCCATCCCTCCTTTCTTCTTCTCTCCCCCCCCCCTGTCGCACCTCTCATCCTGTTTCTTTGTCTTCTTCTCTGGTCAAACCACACCTCCCATTGGTTTACTCTCCTCGCTGTGGCCGCCGTCTTGTCCTCAACATCAATAGTATCCCTCTTTTATTTCTCCACCCTTTTCTGAGTCTTTGTTTCTTTTCCATCCTCCCCTCCTCTTCCTCCTCCTCCTCCTCCTCCTCCCTTTATCCCGCACCCACCCCTCCCTCTCCATCTCAGACATGAGCTCATACCGCCTCTCCCTCCGTCTCTCGCTCTTTATGTCTCGCATTAATGACATCAGTGCTCGGGAGTGTTACGGTGGAAAGTGAACTAGTGCACCACAGGGATGTCACTAATTGCATGATTGCAAATGGGTGTGTGTGCGACAGTGTAACACTTCTGGTCAGGTTGATCCGATCGCAAATACGGCACAAAAATGTCAAAAAGTCATATTCTTTAACAAAGAACAAATGGGTTGAAATTTCTTTTGGATTTGATGACGCATTTTCCCGTTACGTGCGCAAAGCACACGCATGAGTCAGGGACACGTCGCGTCTCCGACGTTGTGACGCACGGAACACTCACCGCTTCTGTTCAATCGAAAGCGTCTCACTGGCACACATACACCAACAGCCCCTAGAACATTGATCGATCGAACGGAGAGGATGGAGCGTGACATGTGTGGATCCCTGAGCATCACCAAAATATTTTCAGATCCCCACAGAATGTCCATTTTGTGTCTTTCTCACCCACGCCGATGCTTTCGCGCTTTGCTGTTGCTGTGCACAGATCGCACCCTGGTGAACTTCAAGTCTTTTGGAAGAATAGCCGGCACAAAGACGGAGCGGCCTCGTCCCCTGACTCCCACCAAGTCTGCGCACTTCTCGGGCCCCCGGTCGCAGTGGGATTTTGCAAAATTTCTCTTTCGTCTTCACAACGTGTCTCTCGCGTGTGAAGGTCTGGCATGTCTTTTATCTGCCCACTTTGTTCTCTCATGCCCCCCCGTCCTCCGCTCTGCCAAACTGGGAGCGCGACAGACAGAGAAATAGATTTAGAGCGCAATAAAGAGACACGGGGAGGGAGGGGGAGATGGCTGTCATGAGATATACAAGTTTTTTGGGGCCTGACAGCCTCGGACTCTTGTTCAGCTGCTTTTGCGAGGTAAACGGATACATACAATAAGCCTCTGGGGGGGTTTTCGACCTATTCAAAATGGTTCCCTTGGGATTTTAAGTGCGCCCTCTCGACTAGTCATCATTGAGAAGCTGTGCGGGGTAACTTCATCTAGCTTTATTCATCGTTACTGTTCTCGTGCCCACATCTCCTCCCCCATGACAGTAAAATGTCTCGAATGAAGCTGCGAGCTCTCGCGTCGGGGTGCAGGTTGGGAATCCCCTGCCCTCCCTCCCTCCCTCTCTCTCTCTCTGTACCATGATGTAAACCTCTCACCCATAGACATCAAAGGGAGACAC